AGTGTGTTTCCCATTGGTTGTCTGGGACCATTATTGATATTTCATTTATTCAGAGTTTCACTTCCTTTTTAGTGATATTTTAATTTATGCTTTTATAGTCCTTGTGTAAGTTGTTCTGATTTTGTTTATGTCACTCTATATTCATAAAAATCTTATTATAGTTCCCTGAATTCCTTATATTGGTTGTGACTTAATGCGCGATAGTATTCACTGATCCATGAGTACCCTTTTTGTTTCCAGTTATAAGCTGCCACAAAAATGCTGTTATAAATATTTTGGTATGTACTAGAAATTTGTTTCCGTCTTTAATCTAGTGGTATCATTAATACTCAGTAGTGAAATTGCCAGATCAAATTGAATGAACACTTTAGTCATGTTTTTTGCATAATTCCAAATTATTATCCAGCATTGTTGGACCGGTGCATAGTTCCATCGATAATGCAGTTTGTGCTTGTCTTCATATGTAGCCATTTGTTTTCATATTACCAGTTTGAGGGGAGTGACATGAAGACACAGAAGTTGTAATTTGCTTTTCTCTTGTAGTGATTTGGAGCATGTTTTCATGTGATTATTTATAAATTGCAATTCTTTTGAAAACTTTCTAGTCTTTGTCCATTTATCTGTGGGTAGTGGTTGTTAGTATTATTTATTTGTAATAATTTCCTTTATATCTTGGAAGTTAGACTTTTATCAGTGATGTTTGTTGTAAAGATTTCATTGTGTCAGTTTCTTCTATTTGCACTGATTTTTCTTGTGCAAAAGCCTTTACATTTTATGTAATTGAAATTGTCTATTTTGTTTTATGATGACCTGTATCTCTTGTTTAGTTAAAAATTTTCTTGCTAGACTTAGTTGTAGGGGGCACTTTTGTTCTCCTTTAATTTTTTTTTTAATGAAAATGGCCTTTTATGTTCAGGTCTTGTGTCCATTTGGAAGCTTATTGTAGTATATGGTGTAAGATGAAGGCATTACTGTAATTTCCTTCTTTTAAAAATAACATTTTTCTTTTTATATTGCCTACATTTCTCAGTGTATTCCTTTTTCCTTCCCTTGCCAGAGAGCCGTTTCTTATAACCAAGAATTAAAAGAAGAAAAAAAGAGTTCAGCAAAACTGACCAATATAACAGAAAAGCCTTATGTTTGTTCTATGCAGTGCTGCACTCTCATTGCTGCAGAGGAGGGGAAGTGCCTTCTCATATTTCTTCTTTGAGACCAAACTTGAAAATTGTAGTTTTGCAGAATTTATTTTTGATTGTTGTGTTCTTTACATTTGTTATTGTTGTGTATACTGTTTTTCCTAGTTTTGTTTACTTTGCATCATTTCATGTGTCTTCCTATGCTTCTTTGTTCTTTATATTTATTTCTTACAGCATGGTAATAATATTCAGTCATTTCTAAGCTGCAACTTATTCAGTCAGTCCCTAATTGACTTGCTATTACAAACATTTTGGTAATATGGGGTCCTTTTTTTTTTTGGGGTCATTGAACTTTTTGGAGTAAATATATAAATATCTAATAGTGGAATCTCTGGGTCAAAGGCTATATGAGCATTTTAATTATTTTCTTTGTCTAAATCCAATTTTTTTTTTCCCAGAATGGTTGGCCAAGTTTACAAGAGCTAAATTTACTATTAGTGTGCCTATCTTTTCACAAACTCCACCATAAACTATTTCTGTCTTTGGTCATCTCTACCACTTTGCTGGGTGTGAAGTGAAACCTTGTTTTGATGTTCATTTCTCTTGTTTTTAGTGATTTGTAGCATTTCTATACTAAATCATTCATTTTCTAAACCTAATTTATGTCAGACTCCAACTGCTAGTTTTCTTAGCAGTTCTTGTCAATTAGGGAGACCTTCCCCTAGCACTTTATGTACTTGGCTTTATAAAAAAAAAAACTAGGCTAGTGCTCTTAATTTTGTCAGATTCTTGCTTATCTAAGTCTGTTCCACTGATCTAGGTTTCTATTTTTTAACCAGCACTTAATAGTTTTAATATGGTTACTATTATATAATGTGGTTTGAGGTCTGGTAGTACCACACGCCTCCTTTTTTATTATGCCTTTTCAAATTATTTCCTTTGAGCTCCTAGCCTTTTTATTACCTCAAATGAAATTTCGTTGCTTCCTTTTTTAGTTACATAAAATATTCTTACAATATCATACCATTTTTATTACATGTGCACGACTCAGCCACAAATATTGAACTCTTTTGACGAAAGTCTTCCTTTATTTCTGTAAAAAATTCAGACTTTGTGCCTGTCTTGGTAGTTACCTCCTTTTTCTATCAATTTGCCATGTAATCTACCTTACTTTCATCTCTTTGTTCCCCAATTTGGATTTTCTGCTCTAGCCGAGCAAAAGTTCCTCACGTGGAATTATTACTACAATAATTTTGTTTCCTCTAAAAATGCAGATTGCAATCCATCCATTTCTGCTTATCCTGTTAAACTCTTGTCCATATCCTTCCATAACTTTTTACAACAGGAGGCATCTTTCAATGCACTAATTTCCTTATCAGTATCCAGTGTAAGATACCTAGGATCACTTTGGCTGTCTACCTGTCATGTCTCACCGTGTAACTAGGCCATCTTATCTTCTTATTGTACATTTCCCTGATATTTTACTGTTTCAGAGTTCCTCATTGGTTATGTATTATCACCTGCTCACACATACTTTCTCTTGCTCTTGATTTTCAGTTCTTCAGAGATTCTTATATCTATATCCTGCTGTTGTACAGCAATATGAGTAGAATGTTAGCATTAAAAAGATGGGCCCCTATTTCCCAGAAATGCTTAGGGTCATTATTGGAGTTTTACATTTTCTTAAAGGCCTGCTTTTCTATTCCTGTTCAGTTGTTGGCTTAACTTGCTGTCTCTTTGTATTTTAACCCAGATACATACTGATAGAAAAGCTGTACAGGGACAAACGCGTGTTGTTACCTGGGTAATAGACGTTCTTCATCCGCTTGCTCTTTCCTACATGCATGATCAGGCCAAACTCATCAGGACTCATATGTTTCTTCTTTTATCCTTTTCCAGAATTATCATATATGCCAGTTTCCCTTTTTGAAAGGCCCTCAGTGCTTCTCTTTGTCAAAACTACTAAAATATTCCTCCATTACTTTTTTTCAGAGTAACCATCATCATCACTATCAAACATTAAGTTCTTATGTTTAAGGTACTGATAAGTTCTGGAAATGAAAAGAGGTCTAAAATATGGTTACTTTGCTTTTTCCAAAGTTACCAGAGATCTCTTAATTGCCAAAATCTAATGATTTTTTTCATCAGTCCTAATCCTTGATTTCTTTGCAGCCTTTTACAATACCTATTACCCTGTTCTCTTGTATACTTGATCCCTTTTCTAGATTTTCAAGACACTCTTCTCGTTTTGTTCTCCTTCTACCTGTCTTACTGCTCCTTTTCAGTTTTTTATGCTGTCTTCCTCCATTTAACACTCATTCACCGTGGGTATCCTCCAGGGCTCTGTCCTCAACTCTCTTCTCTTTTTCCTCTAGACCATCTTGCTTTAGTAATATCAGTGCCTGTAGGTTCAATTGTTCGCTCTCTGCAGATGTTTCTCAGATCTAGGTGTCCAGCCAAAATGTTTTCCTGAACTCTAGTCCCATTTTGTGAACTGCTTTTTGGATGCCTTCTACTAGATGTATCATAGGCATCTCAAATGAAATATGTCCAAAGGAGCTCTCCTTTCTAAACCCACCTTACTTGAAACATTCTTGACTCATCTCTCTTCCTCATCTCCCAGTCTCCCATATCGAATAGCTTGCCAAGTCGACTTTACCTCCTCAGCACAGTGCCTGGCATGTGGTAGGCACTTAATATATGTTGATTGGTTGATGTCATATATCCACATCTCCTCTTTGCTCCTATAGCCTCTACCATATTTCAAGCCCTCAGCCCTTTTCTTGTTTGGATGATTACAATCAAGTACTTTCCCTGATTCTAGTCTCCTTTCCAATCCATCCTCTTCATAGCCACCAAATTAATATTTCCAAGATATAGTGTTTTGACTTTGTTACTCCCCTACTCAAAAATGTTCAATGGTTTCTTTTTTCCTGTAGGGTAAGATAAACTTTTCAACCTGGAATTCAAAGCCCTCCAACAATCTGACTCCCACTTTTTTTTTTGGCCTTATTTTATATTAGTCTACTTCATGCCCTCTTAGGGTTCAGCCAAACCAGACTATTTGTGTGCTTTTGCAAAGTCTTGTTCTCTGTGCCTGGAGTGCACTCCCTTCTTACCTTGCCCCTTCAAATCCCTGTCTTTCTTTGAGACTCTGCTCAGGTGTCACTTCCCACCTGAAGTCTTTCCTGATATCCTCCCTGGTGTTAGTACTATTTCCTCTAATTACTTTGTATTTGCTAATCTATATTGAATTATTTTTTCCTAAAAAGTAGATGAAAAAAATTTAGACCCTTTTATTATGAGATAGAATTTTCTGTTGATTAGATTGTTACTTCTCTGCTTGATTTCAAAAACAAATGTTTATTCATTTGTGGTCTTTTCCTCCTTAATTCTCATTCCATCTCCAGTATAAAAATTAAACTTGTGTGTATTCATAAAGCTCTTTATGTAATAAATATAGAAATGAGAAGTTATTGCTTGTTAAAGTGTGGGGAACAGGATGTAGAGAAAGGACTTAGAGATTGTATTAGTATAAACCCTTCGTTTCTATATGAAGAATTTGAGGCAACAGAGAATAACCAAAATTTGAACCCATTTCTTTTGGCTCCACATCCATTATGGTTTCATCTGTCACTCTGGTTACATGAGATTTATGTCTTACACATTTTAAAAGAAGTCAACTTCGTTAAATTTTAAATTATTTTTTAAGTTAGATATGTTATTAAGTATATTATAATTTAGTTAGATAACCTGTGCTTTTTTTCCATAATGCTGGTGAAAAACTACTTTTGCTTTAAAACTGAGCGAAAGGAATTTTATATACATAAATTTTTCATATTTCATTGTAAAATATTATTTCAGAAAATGGAATAATCAAGTCAGAGAAAGTTTTTGAAGTAATGCTGGCCACAGACCGTGCTCATTATGCAAAATGTAATCCCTACATGGATTCTCCACAATCAATAGGTAAGCTTTGGACTGTGAGAAAATTTTGTTCTTTAGTCGTTTATTCTTATATGATAGTTTTTCCAGGTGAAAAGAATCTTTAAGGACTCTGTGACTCATCCCAGTGTTGCCTTTGTAGTTTGAATTTTGTTCCTAATCAGGTCCCATTAGCCAAACTATTTGAAATTTTTCTTTGCTTATAGACTAACATTTAAAAACTTATTTTTAAAAACTTGAAGATATTGGGATTTTGCATGTTGAAAACTTGTACTTTTCGTTGAATATTTACTAATGTAGGGTCATTAATCATCGTCACTTACAGTTCTTTTATATGCCACTGTTTAATTTTTTTGATAGTAAATATTTAGAAGACCTAAGAATAACAAGAGTTCTTATCCTCCTCTCTGCTTCACTTACTCTGAGTTTTTTTGCTTGTGTTTGTTTTTAGAAAATTCCTTACCTACCTCCTTCTCTGAAGCAGGTTTTTGCTGAACTGCTGAGCCTTGGCAGTGGGCGCCTTTGAGGCTTAGAAGTTTCTTGGGATTCTGTCCACCAACTGCCATGCTTTCAATCCTTATGAAGCACTGTAACACTCCGCAGAGAAGATTCTGGGGAGCTTCTGAACCCCGAAGGCACCTGCTACCACAGCTCAGTGAAAACTGCTTCAGAGGAGGAAGCAGGTAAATAAGTTGTGGAGGAAACAACTGAAAGAATGCAATCGCGATGAGAACTGGACTGTGTAAGTTGATAAGACAGAGAACTAGGCAGGCTATACTTTGGCAAATTAAAAATAGTATTATAGCATTTTGAGGTAATGTAACTTAAGCTGCTTAAATTTCTTTCTCTCTAAAATTATTTTTTCTTCTATAGGTGTGTTTAGCCATAAAAATGGAATATGAAGTAGCGAATTGATTTTGGAAAAATTGGTCAGTGATTTGTAGTCATTTAAATCAGTATTTATAACTTTGAGAGGAAAGTAAGCTAAAAAAACGATCTCTTTTGCTTTGCAGAAACTGATACAAGTTTTTAGAATAGTGGAATTGTTTTCATTTGTCTCAGAAATGGTATGGTAACTAATTATTATGTATATTGTCTAATGTTAATTTTTGAAAAGTGTACTCTGGAGCAGTACAAAGTAAGTTGTTAAAATTTCTTTCTCAAGGACGGAAATACGATTAAAGTGGTGATTTGCAGAAACTAAAATAATTCTATGAGCAAGCCATTATCTTCATTTTTTTAAATTAAATTAATTTTTTTCCAATTAACAAAAATTTGTTTTCCTTCCGTCTCCCTCACTGAAAAGAAAAAACCAAAACCTTTGTAACAAAAATGGATAGCCAAGCAAAACAAATTCCTGGCTTAAGCTGTTGTTTTTGTAATTAAACATAAAATTAGTAGTTTTCTCCTTGTTTTACAGGTTTCCAAGCAACAATCAGTGCTCCACACATGGTAAGTTTAAATTTGATCATCTTTGCAGATGAGCCAGCTTAAATTTTACTGTTTTTAGTGTTTTTGCTAAAAGTGATTTGAGGAGAATAGCTTTTTAAATTTTTATTTTGTCATTTGGTTATGTGAAAATTATACTTATTTCTTATTGTTACAACATTAAATAGTATCACATTACTATTTATTAAAAAACATTATTAGAATGTTTGGTTTTAGCTCTTATGCAAAAAGTTACATAATTTATTGTTTAGAGATACTCGGGGGTGTGTGTGTATGTGTGTCTGTGTCTACTAACATTTTAGGTTGGAAAGGTACCTCAATTTAAAGATAAAGTACAGATACTCTTCACTTATGTTTAAAGACAAGAAGTAGGAATATTGGCAAAATTTAAAAGTTAGCTAAGGAACTCAAGAAGTATATAAAAGTAAATGCCCAGAAATGCATGCTTTTCAGCATGGGAGAGTTGTAATCTTTCCTTAGGGAAAGACTTAGTGTCTAGCTCTTGGACCCTACCACCCTACTGGATAAGGGTACCTATGATCTCTTTTTAATTATTTGTGTTTATTGAGTGATCTGTTAATGGAAAAAAATTAATTACCTGCTAGCACTATTATTTTGCCCTGAATTGTTTTAAAATAAATTTAAAATTTTGGCATATGTTTATTATTCTTATTAAAAGAGAGAATTTCTTAAGGTTTCTTTTGGAAGTATTTTAGTATAATCCTGTTTTTTATCATAGTTTTAAATATAGCCCTGTGATTTTGAGGTCTCAGTAAAGCAAGATGTAATTTTTCTTTCATTTCCGTGCCTTCTAATATTCTTCAGTTGTATTTTAAAAACCCAGTACCTCTGAATTTTTGTAGCATCATTAACTAATAAAGTGTCCCTACTTGTAAAGCCCACTTTTTTTTTTGTGGCATTTTGTCACTTAGAATCTGTTAATTGAACTTCATTGATTTTCTTGTTATGTGATTCTCAGGCAGTATGCCTAAATGTCATTTCAAAACACAGACACAACGAACCTAAATATGTGATTAGTTAAGATACGCCATTCATCCAGTAGTGGTATAAATACCTATCATGAACACAAAATTTATCAAATATATTGAAAATGAGAAATCTAAGGTTTAATTGAAACTGAAATTATTTTATGCTCTTTTATAGATATAGGAAAGGTACTAGACCTGTAATTTTGTTATTTATAGGAAACTCCTGGGTAAGGACACTGCACGCCCCCCCCCCCCCCCAGATCAGCACCTTCTCTGCAACTTAATGACTTGCTGCCCAAGGTCATAAGACTCACTTGTGACCCAAGGCTTCCTGACTTTGAGGCTAGATTTCTATCATTTAAGACATGTCACCACACATATTCTTTTGTGCTTACTGAAAATTATGAAGAACAAAACAAAAAAGAAAATTATGGACATGGGCCATCATTAATGTCTCTAAAGTTTTAAGAAGAATGGTGTCTACAGGTTTTTGTTCATGGCAGTTTTGGCTGCAGCTTAGGTGTATTAGATTTTTGTTAATTGAATAGATACTAATCTTATATAAATAACAGTGAGCAAATACTTTTGAGGAAACAGGGGAGGTCAGGATGCAGAACTCCTGAATATATCTCCCCCATCCTTAAACATCCTTAGATGCTATCGTTCTCATTATCTGTAATCCTATATCTTTTCTCTTTTTCATGGCTATACTGCTTGAGAAAGCTGCCCACAAGTGGTGCCTCCACTTGCTTTCTTTTCACTTCTAGACCCTCAGCAGTCTGGCTTCTGACTCCATCATTCAACTAAAATAGCCCTCTCCAAAGTTATCTGTGGTCTCTTATTGATAAATCTAATGACTTTTTCTCATTCCTCATCCTTAACCTCTCTACAGTTTTTGGTATTATTGATTACCATCTCTTCCTGGATACTCTTTCCTCTGCAGACTTTCCCGATACTGCTGTCTTCTGGTTTTCTTCTTATTTGTCTCACTGTTACTTCATAGCCTTTTTTTTTTTTGGCTGCCTCTTCATATATGTCACATCTGCTGATTGTGGTTGATCTCCAAGGCTCTGTCCTAGGTCCTCTTTTCTTTTCACTCCATACTGTCTCACTGTTACTTCGTAGCCTTTTTTTTTTTTTGGCTGCCTCTTCATATATGTCACATCTGCTGATTGTGGTTGATCTCCAAGGCTCTGTCCTAGGTCCTCTTTTCTTTTCACTCCATACTGTCTCATTTATCCTCTCTGCAGATAAATCCCAATCTCTGTATCTAAACTTAATCCCTCTCCTAAGCTCCAGTCTCACATCATCAATGGCTTTCTGTACATTTCAAATTTGGATGTCCCAAATTCACCATTTCCAAAACAGAACTCATTATCTTTTCCCCTAAACCTTTTCTTCTTCTGAATGTCTCCATTACTGTCAAAGAAACTGCTGTCTTAGGCTTATGTTCTGTGTCCTTCTCATCTCGTTACTCTCCCCCACATGTCTAGTAGTTAATCTCATCAGTTCTGTCATCTAGCTCTCCTCTCCAGTCACACAGCCACAGTCCTAGTTCAGGCTTCATATCTGAACTGTTGTGGTAGCCTTCTAAACTGGTCTCCCTGCCTTGTGTCTCTTCTTACTCCAGACCATTTTCTGTACTTGGTATTAAGGTGATTTTTTTTTCTAAGGTGTCATTTCCCTGCTTATGGAGTTTTAGTAGCTTCCTATTACCCACAAGATCAAATATAAGTTCCTTTGTCATTCTAAGCCCTTTGTAACCTGATCTCTTCCTACATTTCTAGGCTTCTTACACTTTACTCTCCACAGCTGGTCTAATTGCAGCTCTTTGGATATAATAATCCATCTCCCATTTCCTTGATTTTTTTACTGGCTGACCCCCATTCTTAGAATGCTCTGTCCCCTCACCTCTGCCTCTTAGTTTTTCTGATTTCAATAAAAACTCCATCTGTTGTAGGATGTTTTTCCAGGTCTTCCTAGGTGCTAATGCCTTCCCTTTTCAGACTGCCTTCCATTTACTCTGTATCTCTTGTGTGTACTTAGTTGTTTACATGTTGTTTTCCCCATTAGAATATGAGCTCCTCAGGGGCAAGGATCATGTTTTTATCTTTCTTTTAAATTCAGTGCTTAGCATTGTGTGTGACACATGATAAGCACTTAGTAAAATCCTTGTTGACTTGACTCCATTTTCCCTTAAATAATAAATCTTTAATAGTTTACTGAAAACTTCTACAATGTTTCTAGTCACAAATTTTCACATGAAGAAAGTGCTTTTCATGTGAACAATTTATAACCAATACAGTAATTGCATTCTCTCTATATATATTTATATGTGATATGTATATATTTACTTCATGCACATATTTTAGAAGTACTATACAAACCACAGAACTGAAGTGACCCAATCCCTTTGTTTTCAAAATAACTGAATGAAGATTATATACTTAGTACAAAGTTGAGAAATATAACATCAATATTATACAAATAAACAATTTTGAGGTCTTTAATAAATTAATGAAGAATTAAATGAGCTGAACCAGAAGAATAATTTATATAACAACACTGTGAAGTCAAACAACTTTGAAAGCTATAAAAATTGTGATCAATGCAATGACCATTCACGATTGTAGAGGATTGATGATGAAATAAGCTATCATAGAGAAGTGCTGAATTTGGGATGAGACATATTTTTGTATAGAACTTTTGGTGGAATTTGTTTTGCTTAGCTGGATATTTACTGTAAGAAATTTGCTTATTTTCTTTTTCTTTTCAATGGCATTGGGGATGGAAGGGCAAGAAAAGATTTCCATTAATTAAAAAAATAATTTTTAAAAATAAAGAGATGGGCATAGGCTACAGAAGTGAAATGTCACATGAACTTTCAGATGTGGTCACTGTATTATTAGTTTTATTTAACTTTTTTACATGTTATAAGAGACCTCCCACAAAATGAGAGTAGTCTCAGGATGTTTTATAATGTAAAAACAAAATACAGTAAGAAAACCTGAAAATGTATTTAAAAAAGAAATACATTCTATTATTATCTTTTTTTTGTTTTTGTTTTTGTTTTGTTTTGTTCTTTTTTAGGCAATAGGGGTTAAGTGACTTGCCCAGGGCCACACAGCTACTAAGTGTCAAGTGTTTGGTCTGAGGCCGGCTTTGAACTCAGGTCCTCCTGACTTCAGGGCCGGTGCTTCTATCCACTGTACCACCTAGCTGCCCCCTATTATTATCTTAATAAGAAAATTGACTAATTTTATTTGAAACCTATATGAGTGATATATTTAGAACTGTGAGGAAAAAATAAATAAAATGAATTGTAATTACATTTCAGCATTTTCTCCGTTTTTCTTTGTTAGCATGCATATGCTCTAGAACTTCTGTTTGATCAGTTGCATGATGGAGCCAAAGCTCTTGATGTTGGCTCTGGAAGTGGGATCCTTACTGCGTGCTTTGCCCGTATGGTAAGAGATTTGTTTTTGTACTGACCTTGGACTTTAATGATAAAGCTACTTAAGTGATTTCATTTTGGTATTCCTCAGTGTGCATAGCACAGTCCTTAAATGCCACAGGAAACTGTTTCTTAAGTTTTTTGCCAGAAATATTCATTGCTGATGGTAAACCTTCTGTTGATGATCCACTCTGAGCTTAGGCTGTCCCTTGGATAGCAGCATGCCTTTTTAACTTGGTTCTGTTTTTCTGGGTTTTGTGCTTTGTTGACATAGCCTTTGATAATTCAGTCAACTTTGTATTCTGATTTGGCATTCAGATAAGAATCTAGTGAAAGTCTGGAGCCACAATAATGTATTTATGTGTTAACAGTTTTCTACATATGATTTATAATCCAACTAAATTTAAAATATGCATTTGTAAAGTTTTATGTGTTATATATATGTGAAAGTTTTTACTATGTGTGAAGTATTGTGGGGGAACTACACAGATTATGCTTTTTATCCTCAAAGATCTTAAACACTAATGACGGCAGTAGTACAAAAATTCATGAAAATATATCCTAAATTTTAAAAGAAATATAGTGGTAATAGATGAAGGTAGCTGTCTTCTCCTTGAGATCAGTGCCTGCTAAAATAGTGTATGTTGATGGTGTGATGGTTTGGTCTTTTAGCCTTGCTGGTCCACAGTCTTTTGCTCATTTTTCCAGAGGTCAATGGATTCATACTAACCAACACTATAAAAAATTTACAAATCAAAATGCCAGTTAATTTGTAATCACTGAATAACTACCAGAAAGACTGGTGTGCAACCAGACACACATTCTGTTCCTCAGTAGAGAACTTTACATTGAAATACAGATCATAATCAGAACATTGCTTGATGAATATAGAATTAAGGGTTGTATGGTTTTTAAGGAATGTTATCATTAAGCTCCTATGTCTTTGTGAGTTCTCTTTCTTTCCTCTGGTCATGTATAATCATATACTTGCCAAACAGAGTAGGATATTTTTTGGCCATTCAGGACACCCCCTTTTCTGGATAATGCTGGAAAATACAGATAATAGCCTTACTTTCCTTTTTCTATACTTCTTGGAGGGGTGGGCACCAACATTTTGTTTATGCACAACATTCCAGCATGGTCACCAACTTAGAGCTAAATTTGCATTGCATTGACTGACATCTAACAAAGCACCTTAATTTACCTCTGTAATATGTCTTTAACTTCAGTCTTTCTGACCTTCATTTCCTAGATCTTGGGGCTTAACTTAATTTTGGGTTTACATTATCTCTGTTAACCCATTAATAATGACTTTAATAGGGATTGGAACTGTGATTTCGTTGGTGAGGAATCACCAGGAAGTTCCTGGCAAGGAATTTCTCTGCCAGTGTAGGTCAGCACCTTCTCTGCTACCGTGGTCAGAGAGAATTAGCGAGAGACTTGAGAGGTAAAGTGACTTGTCCCTGGGTCACACAGCCAGTGTGCATCACAGGCAGGATTTGGCAAGTCTTCATGGTCTGTATTTACTTTATAGTGGTGCTTTATATGTATAGAAAACTGTTATAAGATTATCTGGGTGATTGGAATTCTTATGGCCAAGTAGGTAACCTACATGCAGATATTTTTCTCTTGCTCTTTCAACTCTAGCTGCCATCAAAAAAGCAAAATCTGAGCGTAGGCAGCATTTATAAAAGAGAAAGCCTCTTTGTGGGATCTTCTTGGCTCTAGCCTTAATTGCTACCATATCTTAAAGAAGTTCTTTAGTCAAATGTGTGGTGACCAGTAGTTTATTCCTTTTTTGACTTGTTAATAATAGCATATTCTTAAAATTTTCAGAACTGGAACTTTTAGAATATTTAGTCCTGTTGATTTTCTTGAAAACTCTGCCTAGCAGTAGAAGTAATAGGAATAGGGGTAGCTAGATGGGACAGTGGTTAGAGCTCTCCAGCCTTGGAATCAGGGGGACCTGAGTTCAAATCTGGCCTCAGACACGTAATGCTTGCTAGCTGTGTGACCCTGGGCAAGTCACTTAACCCCGCTTGCCTCACCAAAAAGCAAGGGGAAAAAAAAAGTAGTAATAGGAATAAGGGCAAAGCCTACCTTAACAGTAAGCCAAATAACAGGAGAAAAATACCTTAACAGATTTTGCTTTACTTTTTACATCCAGATGGCTTGTTCTTTTTTTCACTCATTTGTGGAGATTGGACTGGAAGCATTTATGGAGTAGAAGTCCTGTTCTATTCTTACAGTAGTGTTTACTTTGAGGATTTTGGTCTACTTAGACCAAGAAGAAGGATATAAGCATGAGGGTCTGGAAGGAATGGGTAGTCCAAATTCCCTCCCATAGGAGAGGGGAGTGCATATGGGTTAAGTAGGAGGAGAGGGCAAGGAAAAGGTAGAATATAGGCAGGAAGATTGGAGAATAAGGGCTCGATGTTACTTGCTCTGCTTTGCAGTCTGAATGGGTTGCTTGGGCATTTTCTTTCAGTAATTGAAATTTATTTGTATACTATTTCGGTATTTAAATTCAATTCTTACACGAAGCAAGGTCCAGTAGAAGTAAATAATCATTTGCCACTTTAATGTTGGACAGTGCAGTTGTTTTTTGAGTATCACCGTTTTATGTTGTACTCAAAATTGAAATAGAAGAAAATAACTTTATACATTTGAAAGTTTTGATTTAATCAAAGGTATTTCATTGCTTAAAAAAAAAATAAAGCATCATTTCTTAGAGAAGTTGAGTCAGGTAGTTGATAAATCATATGTACAAAAATGCTGTGAAGTTTTTCTTTGTCCTAGAAAAACTTTTTCTCACAACAACGAAAATTTCTAGATAAGGAAATAACATTACTCACATTTCAAGAGAACCAAAAATACAATAAGTTACCAAATGATTTTTTTCAGGTTGGTGCTACTGGAAAAGTCATAGGAATTGATCACATCAAGGAGTTAGTAGATGACTCAATAAGTAACGTCAAAAAGGACGATCCAACATTTTTGTCTTCAGGACGAGTCAAACTGGTTGGTAAGTATAAGAGAAACTTAAATATTTTTTATGATTACTGTAACTCCAAATTTATTAACATTTAAGGCAAATAGAAATTTTGAAATAAAATTTACTGTGGGATTGGAAAGTTTCTGTAAATGAGTTTAGAGACAGGAAAAATTCTACTTACTTGGGATTGGAAAGTTTATGTATATAAATTTAGAGAGGGGAAAAATTCTGCTTACCCTTGTTTAAAGCATTCAGTTTAGTTTTAATGGCAAGTTATATAATGACTGTCTTTTAATTGTCTTTCCAATATAGTTTTGGTCGTGTTTTCCTAGAGTAAAAAAATTAGGAATTTCTACGATTTTGCTAGTGGGCAGCAGAGACTAAGGATAGACTAAGTCAGGTCCAGTTTTGTTATTTAAACAGAGTAATTCATCTGCCATTGTTTCCCTTGATTGTATCCATCTATGATTCTGTGGTTATATGGTCTTTTTGTCCCACCCTTGTCTGAAGAAAAACATAATTGCCATTATACTCTGAATAACCTTGAACACTGTTAATGCAGTAACATCATTAACATATAACTACACCCATTATCCTAAATTCCAATTGTCTGGGTCCCATTCATCTCTAAATCCTGTGATGTTGCATTGTTAGGTTTCTTTCCCTGGATGACTGTGGCTCCTGTTTTGTGTCCCTTATAAGAGTGGTTCTGGCTCTGTCCACTTAGTTTTATTTTAATGTAATTTATGTAAATTGACTCCCATGATGTTGTATCTAAACTTTTCTTGGAGCCAGTTAATGGCATTAGTTGGCCCATGCCTGGTACTGTTTGGTAATTGAAATATTCTTAATGTTTGTTATTGAATGGATACAAATATACTATTGGAAACCACTTGTTTAGGAGCAAGGAGCCAATGGAAGTGTAGTGTCTTTAACTTCATTATTCTACACAAATGGCTTATCATTAGAAAAAAATATTTTTATTGAAAAAATATTGTTATAAAGAGAAGTACAAGATTGTCATTTTTTGAGATTTTTAATTGTTGAAATCTTTAATTGTTAGATTTATGCAGCAATACGGACTCATGAAACCTTAGATGTATATACCTGATTCATCTTCAAAAATACTTACTAAACACCTAATTCTCTGTGCATCGTGATAGTGATATACAAAAGCAACCATGTAGATCTTGCAATCCCTTCACACTAGAGACACAAGATGCACGTGTGCAGAGCAGAAAGCAAATAGGATAAAAATAGCAAACAAACCTGAATGTAAGGTGGAGTCATCAAAATATAGAGCAACTGAATTTGGGGCTGGAAAGGTAAAGCAGTGGGTTAGAAACTGGAAACTATTACCATGGGCATTACCTCTTGAGATGACAAGGGTGTAGGGAAGTAATTTTTCTCTGACTTCTTTGGGAAGAGTTAGAATTCCAGAAGTTGTTTAATGATTATTAGGCTTGCTGTGGGAAGACGGATAGCAAGTCATTATCAAGCATTTATTAGTCATTGTTACCAAAATAAACATTGCTGATTTTTCAGGAAAAGGTCTTAAACTATGTCCTGTGATGGACAGATCCTGGTTTTTAGAATTAAAAAGGAAAAGACTTCCTTCAGTCTGTTTAGCAATGTACTTCACTATATGTTACAGGAACTCATGGCCTAAATTGATAGGTATTCATTTCAGAGATAGTGGTTGTTACATTTGGTTTTTTTTTTGGGGGGGGAGGGACTGGGCAAAGATATAACATTGAAGATAGCAATAAAGAAAGTTGAATGGTGTTCCAGATTATGCAGAGAAAGCAGAGGATGAAAATGGATATGTACTTGTTAGTTATAGGAGAGTTTAGTTACTATTTTGTCAGCAAAACATACATTTTAAAATAAATTTAAGATCAACTAATTTTCAACATGTGCTACCTCCTATTAACGTTTTTGATGAGAAAGAAAGGTCTGGTGATATAGATACTTTGAACTGAAACTCAAAAATTCCTTCTGATATATTTGGTTTTAATATAGGAGACAGTGTTTTGTGATAAGGGAAGGAGCTTCCCCTCACCCCCAATTTTGATCTGTTTAAAGATCCTACCACATATACTGAATATGTAGCTTATTGTTATAGTTTATTTTCTTTGTATAGATTTTAAAATGAAACTGTTCTTTCTTCCAGTGGGTGATGGAAGATTGGGATACTCTGAAGAAGCTCCCTATGATGCTATTCATGTAGGAGCTGCAGCTCCAGTTGTGCCCCAAGCAGTAAGTCTTTTGTTTTTGTTTCTTTTATTTTAATTAGATTATTGTCCTGTTTATCATCTGTCTTGAAGACCAAGCTAGCTGTACTTAAGGAGGTTTATCACTTACACTTTTGCTGTAGGTGATGAATTTTTGTTCCGCAGGAGCTCTTGAATTTTTATTTAATTTTTATTTGAATCTTTACTTATATTACATATGTTGTTTTACCCCAGGGGAATGTAAAATGCTTGTGGACAGAGACTGTTGTGGTTTTGTCTTTGGCTTTGTATTTACAGCCCCTAAAACAGTGCTATGAATTTCTTTTTTGTTCAGACCTGTAATTTCAGTGCTAAGGGCGTTTCTCCTGTGCGGAGATTGTTGTCAGCAATTCTGTAACCTAAAGTCTTAGAGAGTTGCCCTAGGACACTGAGAAGTTGAGTGACTTTCAAGGGTCACACAGCTAGGATTTTTTAGAGGTAGATCTTGACCTTAGGTGGTCCCGATTTTGAGGCCAGCTCTATCCATCATACCAGGCTAGTTCTTTATTTGATGAATGTGTAATAAATATTTGTGTGTCAGCTAAGGGCCATGGACAGTAAGTGCTACAGGCAGACAGAGGAAAAATATTCCTTTGGGCTGGTCACTGGAGACTTGATGGAGGGAGGGAGGAGGAAGAGGAACTTGAATTGTACCTTCATGGGTGGATAGGCCAAAGGGAGAGGGAGGAGTAAATCAGATGTGGTTGGGGGAAATATTTATTCTAATAGGGGTTTAAATGCTACTTTTTAATTTAATAACTTTAAATAAACATTGATAATACTTATAGTCACATTTCTCAATTGTACTTTACCCTGGTGGCTAAGGTTTGAATTACATATGATTTGAGGTAATCCTGGATAACCCAACAGGTTATTTGAAGACTGAAAAAATTTCTTTAGTATAATATGATCCATTCCTTTATGCGCAATTGATTTGTCTTAGTACTTAAGTGTGGTGTACTAGAAAGATCATTAGTTTGAGAATCAAGAGACCTGAATTTGAATATGAACTTGGCTACTAAGTAATCTTGGGCAAGTCATTTCTCTTTGCATCTTAGTTTCCTCATCTAAAACAAAAGGGATTAAATTAGATGTGTAAACCTTGTTCTATTTCTAACATTCTGGGTCTGTGAATTTGAACAATGTAACACTACTTTAGAATTCCAAGAGCAGCTGATTAGATTTTGTAGAGAAGTGCCAAAAATATCCTGGGTTTATCCTCTTCTGAGGCAGCGCCACAAATTATCCCCCATTATAACTGAGGCTTTATTTAGTCTAATTACCTTTTAAATTTAGTTTTGTTGATAGTCAATATAAATTCCAAAATTGAGTAGTACAGGTCTTGAGATGTCTTCAGTGGTTTGTCATGGGACTCTTTCAGCCAGGAGAAATTTTAGATATATAGTTCTCAATCACTTTTTTATGGGAGGGAGAAGGGACCAATGAATAGTCCTAGAACAACCTCCTTAGGGTGCTGGGGCAGTCCCTATCTTGGCTCTAGTTGCTGTTCCATCGTTTCAGTTGTGTCCTACCCTTCGTGACCCCATTTGGGGTTTTCTTGGCAGAGGTACTGGAGTGGTTTGTCATTTCCTTCTCCAGTTCATTTTACAGATGAGGAAACTGAGGCAAACAGGGTTAAGTGACTTGCCCCAGGGTCACACAGCTAGTAAGTGTCTGAGGCCAGATTTGAACTCAGGAAGATGAGTCTTCCTGACTCCAGGCTTGCTACTCTATCCACTGAACAGCAACGACAACCCCCAGCAGTTGTTTTGTAAATAGTTTGTATTTAGTTTTCTGTGTTCATGTTATTCACCTCCCTCAATAAATTACAGACTCCTTGAGGGCAGGGACTGTTGCCTTCTTGTGTGCCCCTTAATAATAATTGCAGTTAAATAAAGGCAAGGGAATATGCATTTATATAGCACCTACTCTGTGCCAGGCACCAGGTATGTACTGAGCATTTTTTTATAAATATTATCTCATTTGATCTCCACAACCACCCTTGGAGGAGGTAGTAGGTGCTGTTATCCCCATTTTATAGTTGAAGAAATTGAGGCGAACAGAGGTTAAATGACTTGCCAGAGTCACAGAGAGTAAGTGTCTGAGGCCCAGTTTGAACTCAGGTCTTTCTGACTCCAGGCCTAATGCTCTGTCGGGTGGCAAAAACGCACTTGAAATGAGGATTTTAGAAAGTATGAAAGAATCAGTGGTATTATAGAAAATTTAGGGTTTATGGGAGGTTATCTGGATGTATGTGTGGCTCCTTGAGGAAAGGGACTATGTTTTACTCATATGTATTACTCAAAAATGACTTGCCTCATAGTAAATACTGACTAAATACTGTATTTGATGAATGAATCAAAATGTACTGTGTTGAAGTGATAAAAATTGTCTAGTTGTATAAGAAGATTTCTTCCATTTGGTTCCTATTGTTCATTCACACCTGTGATTGCTTTATCAATCAGTCAATAAACATCCCCAGATAGGGTTACACAAAGAGTCAAAAGACAGTCCCTGCCTTCAGGGAGTTTTCTCTAATGGAGGAAACAGCATGTAGACAAATGTATACAAAGTAAACTAAACAAGGTATAAATACACAGGATAAATAGGAGATGATTAACAGGGGGAAAGCCTGTAGAGAGATCATATTTTTATGTGATGATCACTCTTCATTTTTTCAACTCAAATCAATAAATGTTAAGTATCTGCTGTGTGCAAAGCACCGTGCTAAGTGCTGGGGGGGACCCAAAGGTAAAATAAAAATGTTCCCTGTCCTCAAGGAGCTTACATTCTGCTTGGGGGAAACAACATGGGTTGCACAGATAACATAAAAACAAAATATATACCAAGTAATGTGGGAGCCTAGAGGAGGGAAATGGTAACTGGGGAACTGGGAAAGTACTTGAATAGGAGGTGGCACTTGAGCTGAACCTTGAATAGAATTAGGGATTCCAAGAAGTAGAATTGAGGAGGGAAATGATTCCAGAAATTCAGGAGACAGCCTGTGCAACAGGAAGTGGGGTACAGCATCTATACCTATGTGGCTAGAACATAGTGTGTGAAGGAGGATGATGGAAAATAAATTTGAAACAGTTGTGATGAAGCTCTGGAGGCATAGTCAGACCTGTGTCTTGGGAATATTAATAATTTGACATGTAGATTGTGGTTTTGAAAGAGGAAAGCCTGGAAGCATGGATACTGAAGAAGAGGCTGTTGATGAGAAGTAGGCTTGATGAGAGATGATGAGGGCTTGAACTAGAAGTGGTGGCTATGTGAGGGAAGTAATGGAATCAGCATTTGCCATTATATTTGACTTAAATTCTTGCTATTTGCAATCATTGTGTGTATTGTTCTTTTTGTCCTGCTGCCTCTGCCCTGCATTGATTCATGCAAGTCTCATATTTTTCTAATGTTTTCGTTGTCATGGTTCCTTATAGTACAGTAATATTTCATTACATAACTATATCAGTTTGTTCAACCATTCCCCCCAGATGGGAGCATAGTGTGACTTATTTCTTTTTGCTATTGCATAGCATTGTATTGCTATGAATATTTTGTTATATTTGGGAACTTTTAGTCACTCACTTCCTGTGACAAGGAGTGGAGTGTCTCTAGTTCAGAGGGTATGAACAGTTTAATGAACTTTTCTTCCATAATTCCAAACTGTTTCCTGAACAGACTAATTGAATAGTCTGCCAACAGTTTATTAGTATGTTTTATCTTCCCACAGCCCCAGCATCAAATACTTCCATCTTTTAGATGTAAGGTGTTGTTTTAAATTGTATTTCTCTTGTGACTAAAGACTTTTAAAGTATTTTTTTCATATGGTGATTGACAGAATTTGAAAACTGTTCATGTCCTTTGATGACTCTACTATTGGAGAATGACTTAGTCATGCATGTGTTCATTCTCTGTAGAACTTAGATGTCAGGCTTTTTACTGGATGTTTAATGCAAAGATTTTTTTCTCCTAATCCTTAACTTTTTTATTTTGGCTGCATAGATTTTGTGTAAACACACAACCAAAAAGTTGGTTTTTTTTGGGGGGGGGCAGCATGGCTGTGCCAGAATTTGATTTAATCCAGATTTAATCCCAGGGAAGAAACTGTCCATTGGTACAAATTGCAACTTGTTTACAACTGGTCCTGTTAGAGAGTGGCCTGAAGCATCGTTATGTGAAGTGCCAGTGGTTGCACAGTCACCCAGCTCTTTGTGACCCCAAGGCCAGACTCTGTCTGTTAGGCCAGGCTGCCATTGTCTGTTCTTTTACAATATCCATTATTTCTTATCTGGTTTTATGTTTTCCTTCTGATCATACTTGTAAAATATATGATCTTCCATATTATTTTTAATATGATGTTTCATATTTAGATAGTTTATCCCTTTGGAATTTGAGGCACATTATATAAAAAATTAGTATAAAATAGGTGTTCTGAACTTGGGGTCTGTTTTAAAATTTGACAACTGCATTTCTACGTAATTAGTTACTGTTATAATCCTAGGTATTGTGTTTTATACATTTAAAAACATTATTATGAGAAAGGGGGTTTGTAGTCTTTACCAAACTGCCAAAGGCATCCATGACATAAAAGGTTAAAAAAACTCCTCTTCTAAATTTACTTTCTGCCAAATTTTCCTGGCCTTTTCAGAAGTTTTCCTTCAGTAAAAATGGGGAGAAGGGCAGAATTTAGACTAGGACAGTCTCAGTCTTTCTTTGTCTTGCCCCTTTCTGATATGGTCAGACTCTGTTGGGTGTCTAGTTTTCTAGAAGATTATAGTTTGGGGCCTAGAATTTCTGTGGCAGCTTCAGTTTTATATTTAAACAACCTTTTCTGTCTATATCCATATATCTTGGGGCCCCAGAGCTGTCAGCTGCAGATACTTAAAAGCTCAGAGTACTTCAAATGAGCTACCCAGTGCTTGCACATTGCCCAGAGATTCATAGACGTGTAGTTTTGTGGTTTATGACAAGATATTTAGCTTTTGTCTAAAGGGTATTGGTTGGTATACTTGACAGCCATTTATCTTAAATCCCTAGTGTTTAAAAAAAGGATAGTTTGAAAAACAACAACAACAACAAAAAACCTCTGTAGGTTGTTTGTGTGATGTGCTTACGGGTATAGTAGCTGGATAGCTCTAAAAAGGTGATTGTTAATATCAAAATAGATAACTGATGTTTTTATTTTTACTTTATTTTAGCTAATAGATCAGTTGAAGCCTGGTGGAAGATTGATTTTACCAGTTGGTCCTGCAGGTGGAAACCAGATGCTGGAACAGTATGACAAACTACAAGATGGCAGCGTCAAAATGAAGCCTCTGATGGGGGTGATATACGTGCCTTTAACAGATAAAGAGAAGCAGTGGTCCAGGTGGAAGTGATTATCAATTCCACTCTTTCTTCTTCCACACGTACAAGGTGAAAGGGTGTGGATTTTAAGCAGTTAGACTACAAGGGCTACTTTCGGTCACCCTTTCTGTTACTCCATGCTTTGAAAAGTGGTCCTCTTCGTTATGACATCATGAATTTGTTACATTAAAAATGGAGAAAAATCATTGCATGGTCTGCACTTCTTTTGTTTACCTCATAGTTTTGGAAAGTTGGGGAGTAATGTAGTGGCATAGTGGGATTTCTGCAGTTGTCTTTTAGAGAATACTGTATTTCCCTTGGAGTTCAGTTAAATGAGATAGTGGAGTCAAGCACAAGGATGGTTGAGCTTTGGTATCAAATATCATAGGTTTTATCAAGTTTGTGTCTAGGTTATTTTGGTTTTGATAGTAAACTATGTTTTAAAGATCAGTAAATAAAATGATTATCATTTTAATAACAGTAACTACATGTTTATATAGTGTTTTAATGTTTGCATTGTACATTCTTCAGAACAACCCTGAGAAGTAGGTCATATAAATTTGACTTCCTCCACTTTACAGATAAAGAATGGAGTTTCTGAGAGGTGAGATGATTTGTCCATGATCCCAGGCTCAGAGTACAGGCCACTTGATCCTCACCCAGCTCTCTGTCCTCTCAGCCCTGCTGCCCAGGGCTTCTGACTTAGAGCAAGCCGTCATTTTAGATTGAGTCAGTGCTGAATCTCCAATTACAAAATCTGTAAAAAAGTCAAGGATAGAAATGAGCTTCAGTTCATCCTTCTCTGTGTCCAGAGTTTGTAGTTCTGGTATGGGCCCACCATGAACTGCTTCAGTTTCTTCACTGGCTTGTGGTTAGAATAAGCTTGTCTTGAACTACAGCCCAAACTAATGCCAGGCCTGAAAAGAATACCACTTTCACAGTAGCCCTGCTGTAGTTGACAGTTGTACTAAGAGTAATGGATCACGTAACCCTACAAATGAGCCTGTCAGCAGTTTCATTTGGTCCTAGTGCATATATACTGTAGATGTAGAGTTCAGTAAGAACTAAAATATGCAAATATTGCCCTCATCAAATCACTGAAACTTGATAATGAGTAGAATTTTGATATTCATTAGTTGTGAAAACAGTTTTCAGTTTTTTTTCTTGGGGAAACTTGTACAATTAATACTTCGCTGTCTAGAATTTAAAAATGACACTACAATTTTTTAAAAAGAGTATGATTTTGAAGACTTTCAAACTAAACCAATTTTAAAGGATTTAAGTAAAAGGAAAGTACTGGATTATAACAAAATTATACAATGTCATAGTAATTGCTAAATATTTTATATGTTTTTTAGTATCTTTTCTTAGCTTTTATTATTTTAAAAGGCCCCAAACTTCAGGAGTTAGAGTATGTTTGCTTGCTATGGAAACTTTTCTGTATCTCTTGGGAATAATTTTTAAAAAATTTTTCAGTTCCCTGTGTGTTTTGTTTTATTTTATTTGTGTTTTATTTTTTCTAGTTATGTATAAAGATAGTTTTCAGCATTCAATTTTATAAAATTTTGAATTCCCAAATTCTTCTCTCTCCCTCTTTTCCCTTTCCCCTCCCCAAGACAGCAAGCAATATGATATAGGTTATATATATGTACAATTATGTTAAACATATTTTTGGGAATAATTTTTAAAGAATTATAGTTCATTTTAAGTGTGTTTTCTTGAAACCAAAGTTGTAGATCAAGATACAATACAGTTTAAATATAAATTTTGAATTTAGAGTATATTACAAAGATGAAATTAAACCTACAAATTGAATTCTGTGGGTTAAGCAAAAAAAAAAGGTTTTCTTTTTTAGTTTGTATTTTTGAGGGGGTAATACTACAAAATAAAATACTTCAGAAGTATTGAGAACAGTGAATTTGTTGTCTATATTTGTGTCCAAAAGCCCATGCTTTCTTTTAAAATCTAGGTCTGGAACAAACCTAGATAGGTCATCTGGTTGTTTTTTTTTCCCCTGCTGTCTCTCTTCAGGCAGAGCCACGTTTGAACCATCCTTGTCAGATAAGGATTTGCCCTGTTTTAAAAAGATAGTTTGAAGAAAGACTGCTTGTTAACCCCCTCTTTTGGACTTTAGTGTATTAACAGCCTTCCCTATGAAATTTTTTTTAACTTTTCATCGGGTTTAAATTTCATGGACTTTAAAAAAAGTGCTCCTTTTTTTTTTTAAACATCACAACCATTTCTATATATTTGTATTCTCTCTCTTCCCACTGACCTAGTGAGTGAATTCCCTATTTATAACCAAGAAAAACAGTTAAGCAGCACCAATGCGAGGATGGTGTCTGACAACATGTGTACACACCATTCTGCACCCATGGTCCTCCAACCCTCCAACAAAGGGAGGGAGAGGTGCATATCCTTTTCTGTGAGGCCAAGATTGGTTATGATTACCCAACATCTGTGGTTTTGATGAAGCTCTTGTACTTTCTTGGAGATTGAAAAGGGTTAATAATAACAGCCCTTTGGTGGCTTTAGTGTCCTTGATTTATTTAGTCATTTAGCATTTTCTTCTCCAGGTTATCTATATCTACCTTTTAAAATTCTTCTCAGGCTGGAGTCATTTGCATTCCCTCTTTTCAAATTTTCTATATATAAGTACTTTGTTGTTAACATGCTTTAATTTGAGTCCTAGGCCTCCACTAATTTAGCATGATGACCTTACGTTTCTCTATCTGGAAACCTGTTTCCCAGTAGCCACAATAACCTAATAATGAGAGATAATATCTGTATAGTACTTACTTAGCACAGTGCCTTGCACATAATAGGTGCTTATTCACATCTCTACCTATAGTACAGCTGGTGGCTCTGTGGATAGAGTGCTTGGATCTGGAATTAGGAAGATTTGAGTTCAAATTCAGCCTCAGACAGACACTAGTTGTGGGACCCTGGGCAAGTCACTTATCCTCTGCCTTGTTTTCTTCACCTGTAAAATGAGGATGATAATAGGAGCTTCTACTTGGGGAATGTTTATTTCCTTCTCTACCAACTTCACTGGATTGTTTGTATTAAATGAGAATGTATGTTAAGGACTTTAATTGTAAAGTGCTATATAAATGTAAGTTATTATCTTGATAATCTGGAAAATAATTTTACGTTTTAGTAACTTTATTGGGAGGCCAAAATCAAGGAAAATTCTCATGCCTAAGTAGGGAATACAGATATAGTGAAAAAACAGAAGGTAAAAAAGCACATGGATTCAAGCTCTGTATGTTGAAAAATGCCCCCTGGATTTTTGGTTCATTAAGGAATGCCAAATTTGGAAGCTTTCTAGTTGAGAATTCTTCACCCGTTTAGCCTTAGTTACATTTTTCTCCAACTAAGATTTAAAATAAAACACCATGCTAAGCAGAAATTGGTGTTTTGTTAATTATATAGACCTGTGTCTGGGTTGGAAAATTAAGGAGTGCATCATGGTGATCTACCTCTGAATTAGAAATTCATAGAGTGCAGACAGTTTCTTTTAAACCTCTACTCTCTTGCCCCCGTACCCAGCAGTTAATAGACAAAAGTCGTTGACGAACTGGAGAGCAGTTATTCCCTTTGTTGTTATTCTGAGTTTAGAAATGCCTTCTGCTTCTTTTTGATTTCCTTGTAATGCATCATCCAGTGTTTTGCAAAGAGTGGATCCTGAGTAGATATTGTTTCAACTGGAAGAATTGATTGAATCCCAGAGAATACATGCATTAATTTTACCATGACTTTCTGGTTAAGGGGCATTTATATTTTATTTTTCCTTGATAGAAACCATTTAATGCTGAATGTTCTATTTTTTTGGACTTTTAAAGGCCCCATAAAGATGCAAAGTACAATAATTAACCTGATATAGTTTACATTTGTGAAGATTTAAAAAAAATTTTAAATTTTAGAAAATACTTTAAAATATTAAAAAAGAAGAAATTAAAAACTATGCGTATAAGCGTATCTGCCAATATATCAAGAAATTTGTCCAAAAATCACTGTAAGGGGATTATATAGCAGCCAAATAAAAGTGACAAATACCACAATAAAACCTGCTACCTAGTTCTATAGAACTCTTTATTTTAGTATTGAGATGTTTTAGAATGAGAGTTGATACCAATTTATTTTTAAAATAGAGGCTATTGGATGTATTATTTTACCAAATTTACTTTGTAGGTATTGAAACATTTTCAGTGGTTATAAATGCCCTTTAATATCTAGTTAAAATTTGCTTAACTTTTTCAAAGTAACTGTTGGGATGAATTTGTTTTTTATGTTTTAGTGTAATAGACAAGCATTTTAGCTGTATAATTTGCTTGAATATTGGTGAATGTAATCTAAAAAATTTAACATTTGTTCTTGTATCTTAATGTGAATATTTTCAGATTTTTCTTTTGCATGTGTCTAGCATGTTATGACTGTCACCTTGCATTTGCAAATACATCCTTTGAAGTTTAATTATTTTTGCATGTTTACATGCATGCTGAATGAGCTATTTATCATGATAATCAGTTCTTTTAATTAAAATACCTTGTGCTTCTGGCATTAAAAATGGAATATTGTTAACCATAGAAATTGGAACTGATATTTTTTATGGAGCAGATAATTAGTACCTTACTTCAAGACAAAATAAAATTATGTATAAGAGAAAAACATTTTTTCCATTTAAATATTTTCCGTCATTATTTAAGAAATTTTTTAAAAATTGAGGCAGCTGATCTATTATTTTACAATCATCACATAGAATAAACCTACCTGAATAAAAACTATCTCCTCTATTTAAACATCAAAAATAATAATAACCTTAGTATTCTGGTCACTTGGCTCTCCGTCAGATATAAAGCTGTTACAGAGAGGCTCTTCTGATAGTTCCATTTTAGATTGCATTTTTTGTTCCTTCCTTCCTCTCACTGGCAGTTTCTGAGGCACAGTGCTGTACCAGGCTGAACGAGTGGTTTCTTTTGGAGCTGATAAAGCAGTTTTATGAAATAAGCTGACAGGTATATTGTATGTACAGTTGATTCAGATCCTCCAAAACAGTCTGGGTTTAGAAGACCCATTCAGCATTGGCCACAGGACCCTATAAACTAAAACCTAATTAAACCTTTAGTTTGGAAAGAAGTCTTATTTTATGGACTTTAAACAAAGACCAAAGGCTAATTGAGTTCTAATTATACAAGTTAACACCTTTAGAGTAAAAGTCATTGGGAAGATTAAAATCTATGGTAAAGGTCACATTGTTTCTCAGTTCATGGTCTTGGTGGTACAAAGTTACCACATTATAATAAAAGTCAAAGGACTAAGGCCGCTTGAGTTTCACATTTCACTCTAGCAGGAAAGATGTTTGAGACGGCTCACATTCATTCTGCTTTGGCTTGAATGAAGTTAAGGCATATGGGCTTCCTTATCTTTTTTTTTTTTTAACCATTTTGCTACACTTGGGAACTGGTGTATATCTATCTGTTAGTAACAGCACCTAAAATATGAGAAGGCCATACACTTTGGGATTAGTAACTCTTTATGTCTTTTTTTTTATCCCCTGCAGGGATGAATTGTAAAAGTTACATCAACTTGACCCGAATATAATATTACAGTGGATCGCTCATCTCCAGTTCTAAGAGCTTTTTGAAAACCAACAGCATCACAACTTGTTTCAGACTTTGTCACACTGTTATAATCAGCATGAAAATGCGTGGTTTTGTGGGGTTTCCAGTTCTTTTAAAGAAGCACAGAACCAATCTGGTAGAGAAGGAGGCAGAGTACACATTTGTGCATTGTTTCTTTTAACATGCCTGCATTTTATGTTCATCTATTTAAAGAAGGGGATTTCTACAAATCATGAAAAACATAGCTTGTGAATTCCGATACTGACTGGGCGGGGTGATCATTTTTTTCTCTTCTCGGGTCCTTAATTCAGCTCCAGTATATTCATTGATCAGGTTGCTTCTGTGCATCTAATGACACTATTCACAACATCAGGTTTTCTGTATTCAAATGTCTGTTAGATGCTATTAAGAAAATAGAGATGAGCTTCCTTTTTAAAGCTTTTGACGTGGTGTCATAGAATAGCATGTAGTAGATACAATCAATCAGCTGCTTTGTTACCTTTAAAACTAGGCATTTGTACATATGGAACTTCAAGAGATGAGAGGTGATTATCTCTTATACACTTGGCTGTTCAGATTGGACATAACTGACATAGTTTCTCCTTGATCCTCTTTTGAAATGACCAGAGACTTGTAGCTCAGTATTGTTTTTCCTGTTTGTAATTCACTGCTGATAATGTATATGAATTTAACATGCTGTGTAAGCTGTGTCCTAGTTACTGAACAGTTTATGCAGTGTTGCTTTGCCAAATAAAGTTAAAAGCAAAAACACAATTGGTGGTGGGTTGTGTTTTTTGTTTTGTTTTGTTTTCAGTTCTGAATTCTCTCGCAGCCTCCCTATCCCTCCTCGCCCATTGAGAAGACAAGAAAAACAAAACCCATTATAAATATGTGTAGTCATGTGAAACAAATTGCCAAATTTGCCATATCCTTTCCTTCCCCTCTCCCACCCCCCTAAAAAAAAAGGAAAAGAAAGTGTTTCAGTCTGTACTCTGGACTCAGTCCATCAGCTCTTTATCTGAAAGTGGTGACATGTTTCATCATGTGTCCTTAGGAATTGTGCTTGGTCAGTGAATTGATCAGAATCACTAAGCCTTTCAAAAGTTGATTATAATATTGCTGTTACTATATAAATTGTTCTCCTGATTCTGCCTACTCCATTTGGCTTCATTTCATTCTAGTCTTCCCAGGTTTTTCTGTAATCATCCCGTTCATCACTTCTTAGCACAATAGTATTCCATCACCTTCATATATTTGTTCAACCTCTCCCCAGTTAATGGGAACCACACACTTCGCAATTCCCTTCCTTGATGTGGTGTTTTCAAATGCTGTTACCTTCAAAAGGGCACTAGAAGTTTATAAATATTTTAGTAGTGCTTTGTAAAATTCTAAAAAACACCCCAAAGAAATAGCATTGTGTAGCTAGATCTGGAAGTGATTTTTGAGACCATTTAGTCCAAACCCCTATTTTAAAGTTAGGAAAATAATCTAGAGAGGTTATGACAACCATGTTGGTCATGTAGGTAAGTCACAGAGGCTGGATTTGAACTTGGGTCCTCTGACTCGAGATCCCATATTATTTCTGCTCTACTAGGTTACTAGCATAAGTATCATATTTTTATGGCATATGAGGTACTTAGGTGATTGTCTTTAAGGAGAGTATTTGTGATTTAGGAAAGAATTCCATTTGTAGCAAATTTATACCTCCATTAGGAACAAGTTTAACAATATGTTAATTTTAAAAGTAGATTTCCAGGAAGGAGTAAGACTTTACTGTAATTTTATTCAAATGTCGTAGTTTTATACATTTTAGAATAGGGCCTTTAAAAAATCTGAGTTGCAGAAACAAAGGTACTTTAAACCCAGAAACAATAGGATGAACTCTATCTACCTGCCTTATGCCATGCAGGCCAGTAATGTGGAACTCTGACAGACATTGGGCTTCTTGAGGCAGGTAATCTCATTTTCCAGCTTTCTGTCCTTAATCTTTTTAATGCTATGGACTCCTACTCAGAATAATATTTTTAAATGCATAGAATCATAAAGAAAAACAATTATATTGAAATATTAGAAAGCCAAATTCACAAGTTAAGAATCTCTAAGATCTCATTAGATTTTTTGATTCTTTAGTATCCTCTACTAGACCTCTCCACCACCCCTACCTCTCACTTCTCAACCCAGCGCTCAGGGCCTTTGAGATATCAAGTGTCATAAAGGCAAATGCAGAAGTTGACAGAGTCATACAAATCCAATTTTAATTACCCATCAACTTTGATAAGACTTTATTGAGTACATCTTGCATGCAAAGGTGCTGTATTATAAATACAAAAAGGTGTGAGACATAGTCCTTGTCCCTAAGAGACTCGTAATCTTTGTGGGAAAATGACACATTTTAAAAATTAAGTTATTTTGACTACTATTAATACCAAATTAACCAAAAAGGACATATGAAGGAAGATATTTGCATCCAGAGAAAGAACTGATAAATACAGGTATGTACAGAATGATTTTACATATACATATATATATATACATATACATATACATATACATATTTTTGTCTAATGGTAGCCATCTCAAGGGTGGAGTGGAAGAAAAAAAAATGTACATGATAACTTTATTATATATTTTAAAAGGATAGCAAGTTATATATAATGGATTTGTAGTTTCCTGTGCAGTCAATTTTTTTTTTTGTATTAAACTCCATTATGGAAATACTTGTCATATTCCATAAATTAAAAATAAATAAAAATTTAAAAAAAGTTAGTGCCAAATGGCATGTGTCAACTGCCAATGAGTAATGGGACATTGTATTTATTTGTGAAACAGAGCACTGAGTTTTTCTTCTTTTGTGAGCTAAATTTTGAAAAAGACTTAGGTTGGACTACTATGTTTTGAATAACTTCAGAAAAACAGGTTTTAGAGGAACACAAGTGAACTAACCCCCCCTCCCCCTCAATCAGGCACTATGCTTAGTTCTGGGAACAAAGAAAGGCAAAAAGCCTCTCAAGGAGCTCACTGTCTAATGGGGGAAACAACATGCAAGCAACTATGTAGAAACAATATCTATCCAGGGTAATTGGGTAATGGAAGGCACTAAGATTAAGGATGATTGGGAAAGCTTTTGTAAGAAGGTGGGGCTTTAGCTGAAAATGAAGAAGGTTCCCTGGACAGAGAAGGAAATTAATTTTCCTCCCACCTGTGTTCCTTTGTCCAAATCATTTGTGGAATACCAACTATGTTTGACGGCTGTTTGTGTTGAAGGTTGTATTCGTTTATTGTACATATGGTAGAATGAAAGATAAGAAGCCTGTACAAATTTGACTCAATTTCTTCCCCATTAATAGCTTATTTTCAGGTAGTATTTGTCTTATAGGGCATAGAGATCAACAATAAAAAAACGTCAAATATATCCTGATTCTCAATCCAGGTAATGTGGATTTTAAGAGACTTTAAGAATTTGTCACAAAATGTAACTATTATACTTTTGTGGTATGTATTAGATTTTTGAACTCTTTAAGGGCGTGAGCTGTTTTTGCTTTTCTTTATATACCCAGCACTTAGCGTAGTGCTAAGGTTGATTGTTGTCCTTTGTTCTCAGAGGACTAAAATGACATCACTATGTTGGGGTCAAGGTATAGTGTGTCCACTTGTGGCTGATCAGACCAATATGAACTCAGAAGGCTCTACCACAAATAGGTCAGGCACAAATAGTACATGTGAGCATTTAGAGTGGAATTGTCTCTGAATTTGTGCATCTCACTTAAGTAAGGACTTAACAAATGCTTATTGACTGACTAATTATACAGAATAAAATCCTGATTTGAGACCAGAATCCCAGAATTTAATAGCTCAAGATACCTCAGAAGCCATCTGGGCAGGGTAGTGTAGAAGAAAGACCACTGCATTTAGAATCAGAGCATCTGTGTTCTGTTCTATCACTGTTCCATGAATCTGTCATCTAAATAAATGCTTGCTGAATTGAACGTGGACCTGACCAAGGAACCTTATACCAACATCATCAACACTGGTGGTTCAGGCTTTGCTTTAAGACCCCTACTGAGGGGGGAACCTACTACACCATTTCTGAGGTAGCCCATTCATCTTTGGGATAACTCGTTTTTTTCCCCTGACATTGTCTAAATATACACCTCCAAAATCCGTCTGCTACTCCCATGGCCTCTAGATATGACAAATCAAATTTCTCTTTCAGTTGACAAAACTGTACTGCAACACAGCTATCCATTTTCCTTTTAGTCTTTTTTTCTCCAGACTAAACTTCCTTAGGTTCTTCAGCTGAATCTTGATGTATTGATCACCTTATGGTTGCAATGTTGGGGCGATAACCAGTGGGTAAGATCCTTAACTCCCCTCTTTTCATTTTGGGTGGGACAGAGTTAGATAAGATGATCAGGTTCATTTTCCATTAGTATCAACATCTTGGTCACCATCCACTGCATGTTTTCCAGCTATGTCTAAAAATATGGTGCCAAGAACTGAACAGAATGCTCCAGGTGTAGTCCTATTTCTTATGCTTAGTATTCATGGCCATTTGGGGGTTTTCATTGCTAATGACTCCTACAAGACCATAATACTCTTTGAATTCTTAGTTATTTGCCCACATAGGTAATTAAAGTATAAGCTGGTTATTTAAGATGGGTTCTAAAATGCTTCTGTTGTATAATTCTGGGATGACACATTTGAAAAAAAATTGACTCACACTACTAATGCTGAAGAAGCATCCAATTTTGTGGCTAGAAGGCTAGCCTTAGAACTGGAAAGACCATGTTTAAGTTCTGTTAGTTATTAAGTTATTAGCTATGTGTCAGTTAACCTCTTAAGAGCCTCTAGGCAAACTTCTAAGATCATACATTAAAGATGAGTTACTAATCTGCAGTCATGGAGAGAATTGTTTCAAAGTTCCCTATGAGATGAAATCACAGGTCTAGTCCCATGTAATTCAAAATGCATACCTATCACCTACATATAAAAAAAATTACCATTATTATTGGCAAAAGCAGACATGTCTGGAAAAAGAAAATAAAAAAGACAAAGATTACTAAAATCTAAAAATGTTATGCATCTTCATTACCTCCCAACCAATCTTTGGATAATTCTTTAATAAATTCTAAAAACCAGTAAGTCATTTAATAGTGGTAATAACAGCAAAGTAACAACTTCTGAGTCTGCTATTGAGAGAAAAGAAATCGAAAAAGAACATAGGAATTTTGTTGCAGCAATGTATGCCTATTTCAGATTTATTTTAGCAAAAAATGGAAAATTCAGTCAGCATGTTATGTTTTATAATGATGGCATGTTGAATGGCTATTAGAATTGTAAATGAAATCAACAGAAACTTGGTCCAGATTGAATTGAATTTTAAAAAAAAAAACCTCATGAATTTTTGGTGTTTTAAAAATAAAAGCCAATTGTAAATGAACACATTTTACACAAATTGTCAAGCATCCTTGGATAGACCTAGTGAAGAAAATGAACTTGATGGCTGATTAAGTCTCGACTGGATCTCGAGTTGCTGTTGAGGTATTACACATTGATTTATTTCTCCTAATGTTTTCTCAGTGATAACTTACTAGTTCTTTCAGAAAGATGACATTTTCTTTTTACTTCAAAGTTCTTAATGGGGGCATTCAGAAGGAAATGTCTGCCTTGATTGTTGCTATTAAGGATTGATATTTCCCCCCTCCCAGGATCTTGGCTACATTTAAGAATCAGGAAGTAGTTCACAAGATTAGGCTGCCCTCACAAAGCAGGCC